GTGCCCGCATATCAAGTTTGTGCTGCTTTTGTGCTTGTTCGAATTGGGCTTGCAATTGACTTCGTTCCTTATCAAATTGTGTCTGCATTTCCTTTAGATGCTTCGTTAAATGTTTAATTTTATCCAAATCTAATTCAATGTCGTGTTCTTTATGATGAACTTTTGGCGTTGATGTTACAACAGCTTGTAGTAATTTGTTACGTAGCTGTGATTTTGCTGCTGACGAGCTTTTATCGATTGTTTCCAAAAAGGTGATGTTTTCAAAGGTTTTCATTTTCAGTTCTTTTCGCAATAATGTAATCACTTCACCTTCATAATTTTGATCACGATCAGATGGAATGCCGTTGACAACAAAGACCAGTGATTTAGCTGCAAATGGGTAGGCATCATTCAGTGCATCAAAGGCAATAATATCTTCATTGCGAATACGACCATTCTGATTACCTAGAGTGAGAGAGAGAGAGAGAGAAAGCAAATCTAGAGTAGTGACCCTCCGTGTTAGAAGACTCGATTTTAGTCTGGGATTGTGGCTAATTTTAACTCCGTCTAATTGAGTTCAGACTCGCTCAAAACTACCGATAACCCCAGTTTAATGTGAGGAATATGAATATGTGCTCAAAAGCAAAAGCAAATTTCTGTCATGTTATTGCTCTCTGAGAAAATGATCGATGCTCTCAGAATTCATCTCAGGAATCAGGCGTTTCTGATGTGTAATGGCTTCCAGGGAAGAAAAGTTCAATGGTCAAGACTTTACATCTGTCGGGAAACTGTTAACAAATTCAAGCTAAAAACTCTTGCATTCAAGAAGTCTCTCTTAAAGCAAAGACCATTCTTCAGTCTTTGATCTCTTTTCCCGTTTTATATCTTACCGAAAACGTAGCAAACAATTGCATTTGGACATTTTCCGAAGGCCGCATCAATTTCACGTTTATTCACATCAATTTGTTCTTGACTTGATTCGACTAAACCAGGAATATTGAAGATCAAATATGTTGCTCCTTCAAATACGAATTCAACGAATTCCGTTTCTTTTGTAACAGCATTTGGTGAAGGTTTGTGTACAAAACTGTCCTTGTTCATAAACAGATTAGCAAGAAAACTTTTTCCGGTACCACTGTTGCCTAGGATAATTAAACCATAGCTTGTTTGTGCTCCTCCTCGCTGAGCCTTCCGTGTGAATGTAGAATAATCACCACCACCTAAAAGAAATGAAAAGGGATTTTTTCTTTTAAATTGTAATCCTATGATTAGAGTGAATGCTTTCCGTCTGTCTGTCAGAATCTTCTTCTCTACTTGATGAATCAAGGTAATGTTAGAAACCTCCTCCTCTTACCTTGTTGTTTATATGGTTTATCGTGATATTGGTTATTACGAGCCATCGCTGAAGCTGCTGTCTATCACAAATGAAAGACCTTTTGAAAGTAGAATACAGTAACAAAGCTGAATGAGTATCTTAAATTCTAGTACCTTTACAAAAACGTTCAAGATCGATTGTAAGCGAGTTCCATTTTTAAAAATATTATTTCGATACGACTGTAAATAAAAAACGTCTTCCTTTTATAGATTAAGGAGAAGAAGCGATATCGAACAGAAAAAAATCCCAGTATACCATCGTATACTGGGATTTTTCCCTTTTCTTTTTCCTTCTTTTTTTTTTCGTTCGTTTTTCTCTGTTTTTTTAAAAGAAAGGCCATCGTAAATATCAGAGTGACATTC